ATCTATCTATCTATCTATCTATCTATCTATCTATCTATCTATCTATCCATCCATCCATCCATTCGTCCATCTATCCATTCATCCATCAACCATATCTATCTGCCTGTCTGTCTATATATCCATCCATCCATCCATTTCCATCCATCCATCCATTTCCATCAATCATATGTATGTATCTGTGCTTATGTGCATACAGCTGAGGAGAGAGGATTCAGAGCCCTTGGAACTGGAGTTATAGGCAGTTGTGAGCAGCCTAATTGGGGACTGGAATCAGAACCTACATCTTCTGCAAAAGAAGCAAGCACTCTAAACTGCTGAGCCATCTCTCTGGCTCTCCTACTTCCTCTTAGATGCTGTTGATTCTTGACCCCGATCTTTCTCACCATGTCTGCTGTATTCAACGCTAAACACACAGTCTCTGTCTTTAAACAATTCCTCCCTGTCTCATAGAATACCAGTTTGTGGCAACGCCCACAGCGACAAGATCTTAGTCACCAGCTGTGACCTGGGTGATGCCAAACATGGGGATTGTGCCCCATTTAAGATTCTATTCTTCTGTGCTTCTGGTGTAATATTTGGTGTATGACTGTCATAGCTAGCTTCCAGCATGTTAAGACATGCTTGGCTCTCACAGGTGTGTGCTAATCACACATACATTTAAGGCTCACCTGGGTCCCAGAGATGTTTCATGTGACAATAGAAACAGAAGCACAATGTAATTATGCCTTTCCAAACAGTCAAATAAGGTATAGTGGCATGCAATTTGATAATACTGTCTCCTTAGTCGGATTGCAGGTGATACATTTTCTAATTCCAAAAATGTTTTTTTTGGGGTGCAGTTTCATAATTCTTAATGCATTTAGGTTTTTTTTACTTTAAATATAAAATATAAATTCATTTTCTTAAGATTTCCTGTAAGAAGCTTACCATGCCTAATGAGCTTTCAAAAGATATAGGATAATTAGTGACTTTAGGCTTCTGAAGGAAATAGCACTCTGAATTGCATATTCGTCTTTGCAGGCATCTAGGGGTAATGGGGGCTTCCTGGTGGACTCTCACATATTTTAAGAAGCTGAGTATACCATGGCCTGTGAGTGTATTCCTGGAAATAATAATTACATGTCACAAAAGCCTGGGAGAATCCAATTATCTTGCACACAAACACTGGAAAGTCTGTCCACTTTCCAGTGCCTGGAGGGTGAAACCAATCACTTAAGAAGTTAATAATTCACCTACTCAATCGTTTGTAATAGAAAAATGGGGTTAAAGCCAGGAGGCGCATGCCTTTTATCCCAGAACTCAGGAGGCAGAGGCAGGCAGAACTCTGAGTTCGAGGCCAGCCTGGTCTACAGAGCGAGTTCCAGGACAGCCAGGGCCACACAGAAAAACCCTGTCTCAAAAACCAAACAAACAAAAATGGGGTTTAAAGAAAAAAGTGGGTGTGGTGGCACACACCTTTAATCCCAGGACTGAGGAGGAAGAGGCAGGTGGATCTCTGCATTCAAGGCCAGCCTGGTCTACAGAATGAGTTCGTGGAGTATAAGTTCGAGGACCACCATAAAAGATGGGGTGATGTTACATGTTCCTAGTGCTGGGAGGTGGAGTGGGTAAAGATGGGAGAATCTCTGGAAGCCAAAAGAATGAGCTCCAGGTTCAATGAGACTCTGACTCAAAAATAAGATGGAGAGCAATGGAGGAAGGCGTCCGACATGGACCTCTGCCTCCACAGCCATGCATCATTACATACCCCCTCCCTCCAACCCTACATTATTACATACCCCCTTCCCCCCACACACCTACATTATTACATACGCCCTCCCACACACACCTACATTACATACCCCTCCCCCACCTCTACATTATTACATACCCCCCCCCCCCCCCCCCTCATTTTTTCCAACCCCCCCCACACCTACATTATTACATACCTCTCCCCCCACACCTACATTATTACATACCCCCTTCCACACACATGCATCATTACATACCCCCTCCCACATGCACACACCTACATTACTACATACCCCCTCCCACACACATGCATCGAAAGGAAAATCTCCAACCTTAAATGTCTTTGTTGGTGTTGGAGCCAGAGGGATCAAAGAAACCACAAGTGAACCCACAGAATCAACTAACCTGGGCTCATAAAGGCTCACAGAGACTGAACCGCCAACCAGAGACCTTACATGGGACTGACCTAGGCCCTCTGCACATGTTGCAGCTATGTAGCGTGATCTTCTTGTTGGACTCCTCAGTGGGAGCAGGAACTGTCTCTGACTCTGTTGCATGCTTTGGGGACTCTTTCCTCTTACTGGGTTGCCTTGGCCAGCCTCAATGGTAGAGTAGGTGCCTAGTCTTTTACCCTGCCCAATTCTCTTTAGGACACACACATACACAACAGCATTACTTGTAGTGTGTGTGTGGGGGAACCTTTGGTAAAATAGCCACTGACCCTGTTCATGAAAGTTTCCAATGTGCCCCCTCCCCGCCCCCCCACAGGTGCTGGTGGTGTGCTTCACTGTTTTCGGCGGGCTGATGGCGTTTAACTACAACCGCGCGCTCCAGCTGTGGGCCATCCCTCTGCTGCTAGTGGCCTTCTTCGCCTACCTAGTGGCTCACAGTTTCTTGTCTGTGTTTGAAACCGTGCTCGATACACTCTTCCTGTGCCTCGCTGTGGACCTGGAAACCAATGACGGATCACCAGAGAAGCCGTACTTCATGCACCCCGAGTTCTTGGTAAGCAAACACTCCATCTCGTTGTCATCTCCATCCTCACGACCTCCCCCCCACCAAAGTGCGGAAGACTGACGGGGGTGGGGGGGAGCAACACATCCAGTCTCAACTCTAGTCCAGGGGGCTCCATGAGTTGCTACCTCCACCTGGCCCAAAGTTCCAGAGGGGGATGGGAGCTCAGCTTTCTGAGGATGAACTACTTCCCTATGGAGAAGCCTCTGCCCTCTCCAAAGAGAACTGAGAACGCCATGGGGTGTGTGGACTCTTCCGTGGGACTCTCGTAGATGCAGTAGTGGTTATCTTCGGCACTAACAGCCCCTTGGATAGTCTGGGAGTTTGAACAATCGGTGTTTATGGGAAGCATTTTGCAGTTCCAAGCACTATTCATACCCACAAACTTTGGGTAGAGCGTGTTGTTCTGCAAACTCCTCACCTTTAACGCCAATACTGACAGATCCGCTGCCCTCAGGCCCCCTGCTAACAGGGCACACCCTCCCAGAAGCCCCATGCTGCTTGTATCTGGAACTAACAGGCAGTGGTTTCCAACAGCTTTTTTTTTTTGCAACACAATAAATTGTTCATCTTTTGTCTTATCCTCTTCAGACCGAACACATTTCAACAACTGAGCCGTGTCTCCTCTTTGGCTGCTGGGGGTCAACTATTTTAGCAATTTTCTTTCATTTTGTTGCCATAAAAATTAAGGCTTAAGCTCCTTTGGCCTTAAAACATTCAAAGCATTGTCAGTTCAACAGGCACTGGACTTCAGCACTTCTATGAGTGCATGAGTATTAATATGAACCACCCTCCATTCACAGACACATAACAATTTTTACCTGTCTTTATGTACCCTGATGGTTGCATTAAAGCTAACTTTAACTTGCTCTACTCTTCATGACTTGTACATCTCCAGTTAAAAGTCGACTTTGAAAGCTACATCACTATGCACGCTGGCCTTGCACTCATAGCGATCCACCTGCCTCTGCCCCTCGAGTGCTGGGATTAAAGGCGTGTGCCACCACAGCCGGGCTACTTGGAGACCTTTTCCAATCAATTTCCTAAAAACTCTAGGGGCGTGACTAAATGGCTACCCGAGGAGCTGTCACATCACTGGTGCTGGTCACTCTTTTGTTTTTCAGAGTTTTGTAAAACGGACCAACAACTTTAACAACACAAGGTCTCAAGAACACAAGGATGCCTTACCAAATGAAGAGGGGACAGAGCTGAGGCCCATTGTGAGATAGGGACCCAGAGACTTTTGTACCTGAAGACCCTGAGTGCGCTTTGACCTCGCGGTGATGCTGACACCAAGTCTACAGCTATTTTCACATGAACCAGAGCAAGAAAAAGCATGGTAAAACTATGTTTATACTGCCATCTCTTTAAAAGGCCCACAGTGCCCGGGCCCGGTGACATACATCTATAATCCATCCCCAACAATTAGGCAGCTCAAGTACAAAGAGCACCAGTTTACGGCCAGCCTGGGCTACACAGGCATTTAAAGCCAACCTGAATGCTATGTAGAGACCGTATCTCAACATAAATAAATAAATACAAATAAAAAATAAGATTGGCCCTCTGGATAAAGACAACTCCTGCCAAGCTTAAAGCCTTGAATTGATCCCTCCAGACCCACATGGTGGAAGGAGAGAACCAATTCCCACAAGTTGCCTCAAGACCTCCACACCTGTGCCGTGGCACATGTAGACACACACACACAAACACACACACAAAATAAAATACATTTAAAATGTAAGTAAATAACATACCTCGTAAAACTTACCTGAGTTTGTGAGGTCACAACCAGCTTAATTTTTTTATGGCAGATTTTGTTAGCATAAGTCTCTAGAATACTATTCTTACACAGGGCAGGACGTTCTGATTCTTGCAACTCTGGGAGCACGCTATCAGCTCTTACACTTACTGACATAAGGCAGGCGTGAACTCGACTGGAGCAGCACACCCAGGACAGGCAGTTAAGCAGGATGCGGCTCAGCCGGCCGCCTGCAAGCAGAAGGCACTTTCACAAACCAGCAAACATTAAGAGAAAGCGATGCTCAACCTCTGCCCAAAATGAGACTTGCCAGGGAGCTTTTTAAATTATTTTTTTAAACACACCTGACCAGCAGCCAAAATGTAGATGGCTTACAGAAGACCTTTTCCTTTTTAAAGCCCTAAACAAGATGAAGTTTGAATGTGAGGACGGGCGCCTCATCAGTCGAGATGCGGTGTGGAACGCCCATCCTAAGAGGAAGCCTGACCTGACGGACTTGGCAGGCCAGCGCCTGTGATGTAAAAAAGTCCCCTTCCCTTGCTTGTCCTAGCCACCTCTGCATTTGACAGGAAACAGTCTGACAGCTCAGGCCCACTTTAAATGCAAATTTCTTCTTCCACGGTACCTTTCAGCTCTGAGTGATTTCCAGGGCACTCCCAGAAGCATGAGTGAGTCATCGCTGAGTGATGATGTCATTTCTGTGGGTTCAAGCATCTCTTTATCTGTCTTGACAAAAACCACCGGAGCCCAACCGCCAGCCCCATCAGAAGAAATCGCTTGGCTGAGACAAGGTCAGAAGGCGTGCGTGACCAACTTCCCTCAGCGAGGCACTGGAGTTTCCCACACCCAGCTGTTGTTCAGCCTTCCCTTAGGTGAGAAGGATGGCTTAGAGTTTCCTCAGTTAGCACCCTGGGCTCCCCCAGGTCAGCTTGGCACCATTCATATCCTACCCTCAGTGCCCATATAGTAACTCTCCCTTGCAGACGGAAATGCTTTTAAGAGTATTCCAACTTGAATTTAAGATGAACCAGGGCAGCCAAGTCATAATAACGCAAGGACCAGGTAATTCCTGGCTGTCACTTAACGCAATGGGAATTTTTCTTCTTTTGGTTATTGTTTTGCTCTTGTAGCCTTCAAACAGGGACTCTGTAGCCCAAGCTGACCTCAAACTCGCAGAAATCCTCCTGCTTCAGCCTCTCTGGTGCTGGGATTACTGGGGGTTAAGTCATCACACCCAGTTTAGACTCAGTCTCCACGAGTGCCATGTCGTATGAGTTAAATAATGTTGAAATACCTTCTCAGTGTCCAAGGAATGAGGCCTCTGATTTCTGACCTGACTCTGCCTACACAGAAGCTAGCCAGAAAATAACCAGCCTGCGGTTCATATGAATGTTCAAAAAAAATATTTATTTATAAAAAATACAATGGGATAAGTTTATGCTGAGAAATGCAGCAATAAATACAGTTGGAGGAAACAGCGACTCTACAGTGATACATTGGCACAAATGAAGTCTGCAGGTACACACCCAAACCTACATGTCCGCGGCCATCTTGGTATACGCTCCTCGAGAAGCGCCACTCGGAAAAGACCTTGTCAGCTTAGAGAAGAGAATGAATAATCACAAATGCACACTGATCATGACTTTATTTAAAACTCAGCAAGCAGAACTGCAGAAAAAAAAACAACCATGTGTCAGGTTTTCTACACGCTGCATCTTAGGATTTAGTTGGCAAAGACCACATTTAGCAAATCAACATTTTAGTCTTCCATGTTTAAGCCAGATACACACTAAACTGTAGAAAAGAAAAATAGGTTCCTATTGTTTGAAAAATACCAGTTTAAGTGTAAGATTGTAAGAAAAAATGCATAGCTTGTCAATATAAGAACTGGCTGCCCTTCCATGGTGTCCCTTTTCACTTCACACGCGGTTATCGGTTATGCTGTAGGACTTAACGGTTACAGCACTAGAAGGCAACTATTTGGGGAGGAGGCAGAGAAAGGAAAAAGGAATGTATGTAAGGCATTCTTTTTCTTAAGGTACAATAAGCATAATAGTGTTTTAGGAAGACGAGAGAAGAATTACTCAAGGCTAGCTTGGGTCTCACTGGATAAAAACAATGGACTAAATACTGCGCTCCCGTGTGTGATTCTAATAGTCAATGCCCTGGTCATCGCCATACTGGTATTCTCGGGGGTAGTCATCGGGGTACTCGCCATGGTACTCATCGGGGTACTCCGCCTGGTAATCACTATCACTGATTTCTGACCCATTTGTTCCTGTGCCCTGGCTTCCGTTGTGAATGACGGGTTCTGTAGGGGCGGCGCAGTACTTGGGGTCGTACACTTGCCGCCCAAGCCCATACACGCTCATTCCTTTCTGGGAAGCCACTTTGTTGGTACCCATCTGTAGCGAGATGGTCGAGCTGTCCACTGGCTGTAATGTTAGCTTCTGGTCGTAGATGTCTCTTCTGGTACCCGGTGCTAACATCCCAGCCTGGTATGAGAACATAACAGTACACAAGGTGAGACCGGAGCTAAGAGCTGTACTTGTTAATATTGTCGACACTGTGAAAGTCATGTGACTGTGAGCAACTTTCAATCGGTTTGATGAGGACCTAACTTACCAAAATATTCTTAAACTACTCACCTTTATGACGGGAGTCACCTAGTCTTGAGCTGAGCCAGGTCATCTTTCACATCTCTGCCCACTGTAACACCTCCACATGACCTCCAACAACTTACTTTGAGTATTTTCCCCTATATGTAATACAGACGCAATACTACCTACTGCTAAGTAAAGAATTAGACACAAAGAATATAAAAACAAAGCCCAGGGCTGGAAATACGGCTCTGTGGTTAAGAGCACTTCTCTGTCTTGCAGGGGACCCAGGGTCAGTTCCCAGCACCCACATGGTGGCTCACAACTATCTGTAACTTAATTTCAGGGCATCTATTGCATATTTCTGACTTCCAAGGGTACCAGACATATACATGGTATACACACACACACACACACACACACACACACACAGAGGCAAAATAGCCACACACAAAAACCAAGTAACTAATACTTTTTATATTTAAAGAAGTTCCACACTGGCAAACCTAAAAGTTACATGTGAATGTCTACTGACGGCCACCTAGGCCACCAGTCTTAAATAAGCATACATTAAATAAGCATTCAACTAGAAGCATGCTGAACCAATCTAAGGGACTGAGTTGTCTCAAGAGGCTGTCATGAGGAGCCATCCGCTTCAGTTCCTTCACTCCTACCTCAGTTTCTCACTCATGACAAGCACACTTTCAGACACAGAGTGGGTGAAAAGGCCAACGTGAGTGGCAGCTACGAGAAACGACTGTTCGTGACAGGGCAGGTTCCAGAAAGAGAAAATAGCAGATTTCCCCATAAACATAATGAGGTTACTAAAACTTACAGTTATTATTTTTAGATATAAAATCCTGCTGCTCTCAAATGCTTATTGGGTAGGTACCTCCTTGTTTTGGGTGTGTGCGTGTGTGCATGTGTGTGTGTGTGTGTGTAACAGAAAGTGTGATGAGGAGGGCAGATAAGGAAGACATGGGCCAGGATGCACATAAGGAGGCTAGAGGTCAGCTCTGTAGTCAGTGCCCTCCTTCCATCTTCAGGGAGGCTGCAGGGAGCAAACTAAGGTCACCAGACAAATGCCTTCACCCTGGGCCATCTTTACCACACCCTCATCTATTGAAAAATTCTTATGCTGATGAAGGAATTAGTTCTATCAGATTGGCCTGTGTCTGTGTATCTAAGGGTATTTTCCTGATCGCTTATGAATGCAGGAGGGCCCCCTGGGCAGGGAGGCCAGGCTGTCTAAGAAAGGTGGCAAGGGAAGCCAGTAGGTGACCTTCCTCGATGGTTCCTGCATTCGCCTGTCTGGAGGATGGACTATGACTTGGAAACGTAAGGCAAACACAGCCTTTCCTCCCGAGTTACTTTGGTCAGACTGTGTTATTGCAGCCATAGAGTCAGAACACTAACAGGTACAGAACTACTTAACCAGCCTTTCATAAAAAGTCATTTCTCCCCTAACTCAATGTTAAGTTTCAAACCAGGAACAAATGGCTGAGGTGGATCCCTCAGTCCCTACTTGCTGCAGGGTATGGCTGGCACACCTGGCCCCCAGAGGCTCTTCCCTACGTAACCCAGACATTTTGGTTCTCCGCCCCTTTTGCACCTTTGGCCTCCTGGCTGCTGTACCTGGTTCCCCTCTCCCTACATGGCCCAGCTCAGTCTGGTCATGCCCCACTCTGGCCGCTCCCAGATGTCCCTGCCTCTGGCTGTGCTCTCCCGCATGTCTACAGTAAACTCTCTCCTCCACCATCCCTGGCAGCAGCCATGTGCTTCCTTAGTTTTGTTTTTTCCCCCCCTCATTCACTTACTGTTCCGTGAGAATATGCTGACTAAACAGCTCTTAGCAGAAATGCCAGATAATCTTACGGACCCATTTAAACGGGCCCCTCGAAAAGCAAAACCAAACTGGGGTAAGGGAGGACCGACCATCTTTTACTTGGATCTAGGAGCAGGAACACACATAAACATCACTTTTTTCTTCTGCTGAGGCAGAAAGGCCAACTGTTCTTGCTGCCAACCAAAACCATTAGTCACGCTACACTCTGCAGCCTGGAGAAAGGGCCCTTTGATTCTCCTGCTCTCCCAGCAAAGCCTACTTTCCTGAAGACTAAAAATACTATAGGAAAAATACCATCGGCGACTCTAGCTACACACGGGGTCAGTGCTCGCTTAGCGCGGCCTCCGTGCCCTTTGCTTACCTGGCTGGCTCCTTTGTTGGTGCCCATCTGCAGACTAATCGTGGTCTGGTCAAAGGGTTTGTCGGTCTGCATCTTGGGGTCATAAAGATGCCTCCTGGTCCCATAGGCTGTCATACCCGCCTGGCTGGCACATTTGTTGGTTCCCATCTTTCAAGTGAAAAGATCAGCATTGATTATCAAAGGTCAGTAACAGATACACAATACAACGAGGAAACGTAAAGTGGAGCGGGGGGTGTAGCTCGGCACTAGAGTCCCCAACTGCTGTGTACAAAGATCTCGAACCCAGCACCAAAAAGCTGGGGCAGGGGAAGCAGGGGACTTACAAGTTCTCGAGCTAAGGTGGTGCTAGGCAACTAGGTGTGAACTCCCCTCTGTGCTTCTGAAAGCAAAATGGGAAGCCTACCTCTAAAAGAAAAACTCCAAACGCTCTTCAATACACAGAACCCCACAGAACAATCAGCTGTATACAGACTTGCAGAAAGAGGCGTAGTGTTAAGTAAGAAGCTACTGTGCTGGCAGAACCATGGAGAAATTCCCCGCCCCTCTTTTCTATACTCTCTGCAGCACGGGGACCAGTTCAAAGTGTGCCCACTTCAGTCAGGGAACCCTGCAGCAGGTGTGAACAAAGAGGACAAGCCTCTGACTCCGGGTCCAGGTGCACCTGACCTTTCTGCTGCCATCAACAAAGTTCACACTCCTGAGTCACATAATCAAGTCACAAGGGGGGGGGGCGGCACTTATAAAAAACATCTTGTAATGTTTCAGTAAGTTTATAATGTCATGCTGGGCTAAAGTCCATAGCAATCTTTGCTGCAAGCACAGTCTGTGTGCTCAGAGTTAAAACAGCAAAGCAAAGGCCCATACTTAGCCATCCTCAACATTTTCAGAGAGGAAAGAGACATTTTCTTCCCACAACTCTCGTATACTGGCCAGAACCAGGAAGAGGCAGCCAGAGAAGTGTAAACTGAGGCAGCCTCAGAGGAATAATTAACTTCTCTGCCCAGCTGAGAACTACATGACCCAGGACTCAGTGCCACCAGTGTCACGAGAGGACCAGTTCCTACGACTTTAAAGAGTGTGGGTGGGGCTTTGCTTTTCTGAGAGTCTCATACAAACCCAGGCTAGCACTGCACCCACTAGGTAGGCAAGAATAATAACCTTAAACCCCTGATGGTCCACTTCCCACGTACTGGGTGCACATGGGTGCACACCACCATGCTCAGAGAACACTTACAAAAGAAAACGTCTATTACAAAAAGCAAAACCCCTGCACGGGCAAAGATTGACACACACACATACATATAAGCAAAAAAAGGAGGGGGAATTACTGCAATATTAACATCTGTATAGATGCAAATGGACATCTGTGAATACCCCTTGGGGTTTATCTGCATATGTCCCCCTGAGTATAACTAAAGCCACATTTAGAAACCCACACTGTCCAAAAATACATATTTCGCTTTAAAAGTTAACAGTATTTTAGAACCTTATTTTGTTCCCTTAATTTATCTTTTCAAGCACTGGCGTTAATTTTCAGGCTGCAGGCTCCAACTGCATGGGGCTCTCACTGATCAGCGTTCAGGCTCGTCCACTCTAACTGCCCTCCATTTATACAATGTTGTACTTTTGAAAATGAAAGCCACCTGAGAGAGACTCAGTCAAAGGGGCAGTTCACCAAGGAGGTCCTCGGCTTTTTTTTTTTTTTTTTAAATATCTATTTATTTATTTGTTTATTTATTATGTATACAGTGTTCTGTCTGTCTGTATGCTTGCTGGCCAGACGAGGGCACCAGATCTCACTATAGATGGCTGTGAGCCACCATGTGGTTGCCGGGAATTGAACTCAGGACCTTTGGAAGAGCCAGCAATGCTCTTAACCTCTGAGCCATCTCTCCAGCCCGGTCCTCGGCTTTCACACCACTTGTGTGTGGTTTTGTGACTCTCTTTAGGGAGACTGTAAAAGTCACCCTAACCACCAGCTTCCCAATCAGCAGGCTTGGTCGCAATACTGCACACTGATTGCGTGTAATGATTCTGGCACT